CGTTTGCGGTGCTTGTTCATGCTTAAGTCCAGAGTCCCGTTTTCATCCACTTCAATGTCCATGGACTGAAAGGGGGAAAGTTGGGACAACACATTTATCATTTCTTCTTTCAATCCCGCCACTCAAAACTGTCGACGCCATCCTGGTGGGGTGGACCTAACTGTCTTACACCAGAGCAGTGGTTCTCAACCTTTTTAATGCCGTGACCCCAACCGCTCATAAGTCAAGGACTAAACCGGTCGTAAGTCGAGGACTAAACCGGTCGTAAGTTGAGGACTACCCAACCGGTCGTTAAGTAGAGGACTTTCCCTGCCCGGGAGCGCCGTGCATGCGTGGTTCCGCCCCCTGCGCCGGCCGAGGCATAGCTGGCAAGCGGCAGAGACGGAGCAGGCCGACCACCAGCTGGCCCAGCCCAAGGGAGGTAAGGCACCCGCTGGAAAAGAGGGAAAAAAATGGCGGACAAAAAAAATGGTGGACAAAAAAATGGCGGACAGCCTTGCTTGGCGACCCCCATGAAATGGTCGATCGACCCCAAATGGGGTCCCGACCCACAGGTTGAGAACCACTGCACCAGAGTATCTGTGGCGTCCTTGGTGCTCTCTGAGTTTGGTTGTTTTCTTGCAGATATTTCAACTACCAAACTAGGCAATGCACAACATGGTGGGGAGAGAAAGGAAGAAACAAGGTACAAGACCGAAGACAGGGCACACCCTGCCATACATCAAAAACACTTTGGAAGCAGTAGAACAGGGGTGTCAAACTCAATTTCATTGAGGGCCGCATCAGCATTGCGGTTGCTCTCAGGGGGCCGGATGGGTGCGGCCAGGGTGGGTGCGGCCTACTGGGTGGGCATGGAGGGAGTGGGTGTGGCCTACTGGGTGAGTGTGGCCAGCTCTACATCGTTCGCGTCAAGGGCGCCTGTGGGGGGCCTGGGCAGGAGTGGGACAGATCTGAGGGTCTCTGGCAGAAGGGGGGGGGACCGGGGCAAGTGCCAAGGCATGGTCCATTTCTTCATTCCTCACTAAGGGTGACACCTCCCCAGCAGGCACCCAGGGGGCGGGGCCGACACGGCAGGGGCTGGTTCCTCGCTGTTTCCGGACAGCCTTGTGGAGCTAAGACTGAATGCGTTTCAGCATAGATGGCCACCACAAAATTGTACATTGGCTCCCGGCCAGCCTGGGCCAGGGCCAAGGCAGAGGGGGCCGTTCCCTCACTGTTTCCAGGATGGCTTCGCGGGCCACATGAAACCACTTTGTGGGCCCCATCCGGCTCCCAGGCCTTATGTTTGACATGTCTGCAGTAGATTGTAGCTTCTGAGATCTGCAAGTGGGCATCGCACACCGCCGAGGGGCTACCATACGACAACAAATTATGCATTGTAAAGATCACTTATGCATAAATCAAAAGATATTAATCTAACCGTCCGGCTTGTATCCTATTTAGCAAAGGGCACACCGGGCTAAGACCTTTATTATGATTTACAGCTTACATTTTTACATGGCCAGCTCCCCAGAGTTGCTGTATCAGTGAGATAAGTGGCATACAAATTAAACAAACAAACAAACAAATAAATAAATACAGGTAGTCCTCGACTTATGACCACAACTGAGCCCAGAATTTCTGTCGCTAAGGGGGACCTTTGTTAAGTGAATTTTGCCTCGCTTTACAACTTTTCTTGCCACAGTTAAGTAAGCCTCAGTTGTTAAGTTAGTAACACAGTTGTTAAGTGAATCCCATTGAGTTTGCTTGTCAGACGGTCACAAAAAGTGATCAGATGACCCCAACGGGACAGTGAAATTTCCTGAGAACTAAAAAGACATTTCCTGACAGAATAAATAACCAGTGGAACAATCTGCCTCCAGAAATTGTCAGTGCTCCAACACTGGAAGTTTTTAAAGAAGAGACTGGACAGCCATTTGCCTAAAATGGTATAGGGTTTCCTGCCTGAGCAGGGGGTTGGACTAGATGACCTCCAAGGTCCCTTCCAACTCTCTATTCTATTCTATTCTATTCTATTCTATTCTATTCTATTCTATTCTATTCTATTCTATTCTATTATCTGTTTATTCTATTCCTGTTCTATTCTATTCTATTCTATTCTATTCTATTCTATTCTATTCTATTCTATTCTATTCTATTCTCTATTCTCTCTTCTATTTTCTATTCTATTCTATTCTTGATCGCTGCGATGATTGTGTGAAAAGCGGTCGTTAAGTCGCTTCGTTCACTGCCGTTGTAGCTTGGAACGGTCACTAAACGAACTGTGGTAAGTCCAGGACTACCTGTAATCCATCCATGGGGGGGGCTGCTCCCTCTCGCCTGCTCACCTTGCCGGAGAGATCTTGCTGCTTGGTGCTGAGGTTTTCAGGCATTTCCCAGCAGCGGGTGGAGAGGTTCAAAATGGCGGTGGCAGCCATGTGGGCGGCTTCGGCGTCGTGGGAGTAGTCGAAGCCTGTGGACGAAGACGAAGCGTTCTTCACGTAACTGCTGGAAGGGCTGTGGCTGGGGGAAGTGGAAACCTTTGGAAAAGGTTTGCCTGTAAAAAGGGGAGCAAGAGAGGCAGAAAGGTGTGGATGGTGTTGGGCTTCAGCCATTTATTTATTTCTTGCTCCCTTGTCTTTCCTGCAGGAATTCAACACAGCCTGTAAAAGCTCCTTCCTCTAATACTCCGATGGCAAGAACCCAGTTTGGTTGAGGGGTTAAGGCACCAGGCTAGAAAATGGGAAACTATGAGTTCTAATCCTGCTTTAGTCATGAAAGTCAGCTGGGCGACTTTGGGCCAATCACCAGGGGACTGTGAGTTCTAGTCCCGCCTTAGGGATGAAAGTTGGCTGGGTGACTTGGGGCCAATCACCAGGGGATTGTGAGTTCCAGTCCCGCCTTAGACAAGAAAGTCGGCTGGGTGACTTGGGCCAATCAACAGGAGACTGTGAGTTCTAGTCCCGCCTTAGACAAGAAAGTTGGCTGGGTGACTTTGGGCCAATCACCAGGGGACTGTGAGTTCTAGTCCCGCCTTAGCGATGAAAGCTGGCTGGGTGACTTTGGGCCAATCAACAGGGGACTGTGAGTTCTAGTCCCGCCTTAGGGATGAAAGCTGGCTGGGTGACTTTGGGCCAATCAACAGGGGACTGTGAGTTCTAGTCCCGCCTTAGACAAGAAAGTCGGCTGGGTGACTTTGAGCCAATCACCAGGGGACTGTGAGTTCTAATCCCGCCTTAGACAAGAAAGTCGGCTGGGGGACTTTGGGCCAATCACCAGGAGACGGTGAGTTCCAGTCCCACCTTAGGTATGAAAGTCGGCTGGGGGACTTTGGGCCAATCACCAGGGGACTATGAGTTCTAATCTTGCCTTAAGTATGAAAACTGACTAGGTGACTTTGGGCCAATCACCAGGGGATTGTGAGTTCTAGTCCCGCCTTAGACAAGAAAGTCGGCTGGGTGACTTTGGGCCAATCACCAGGCGACTGTGAATCCTAGTCCCGCCTTAGACAAGCAAGTCGGCTGGGGGACTTTGGGCCAATCACTGGGAGACAGTGAGTTCCAGTACCACCTTCGGCATGAAAGTTGGCTGGGTGACTTTGGACCAATCACTAGGGGACTGTGAATTCTAGTTCCGGTTCAGGCATGAAAGATAGCTAGGTGACTTTGGACCAATCACCAGGGGACTATGAGTTCTAGTCCCACCTTAGGCATGAAAGCTGGCTGGGTGACTTTGGGCCAATCACTAGGGGACTATGAGTTCTAGTCCCGCCTTAGACAAGAAAGTCGGCTGGTCTATATTGGTCTAATTGGCTGGACCACAAATAAATAAAAAAAACCACAACCCCCCCCCCCCACCATAAATCCATTCCCCCAATGGCCGTCCATGACCAGACCCAACTTACATTTAAAGGCTTTAGGTGAGGTTTCGCTAGACTGAATCTTTGGGGCAAGCATGCGTTTGCCAAAAACCTGAGCGTCAAAACTTGCATAATCGAAGGTGACTTTGGAGTACTTCTCCAGCTCCTTGGCCAAGTTGGCCCTTGGCGTGGAAGGAACCATGTTGGGCCTGTAATTTCCATACTGAGGCACCTCGAGTTGCTTCACAAAACACATAGGCCTGAAGAAGAGAGAAAGGAAAGGAGGGAACTTTGGCAAGACGTTCATGAATCTGGGTGAGCACGTGAGGAACAATTTGGCTAAAAGGGTCCCTTCAAGGAAATAGACAGTCATCTTTCCGACAGAGGAGAATATTCGTAGCTCAGGGTTGAAATGAGGGGTCTTTGGTGCTCTCTGGGCTTGGTGGTTTTCCTACAGACATTTCATTACCCAACTAGGCAATGTCATCATTGCTGGAAGGGAATGAGGTTTGTGGAGAAGAAGAGGAGGAAAAGGGGGGGTGGAGGAGGAACAGGAGGAAAAGGACTGTGGGGGGAGTCTTTGGTGCTCTCTGTCTTGGATATTTTCTTGCAGATGCTTCATTACCCAACTATGTAACATCAGCAGGGCTAGAAGGGAGTGAGGTTTGTGGAGACGAGGAGGAGGAGGAGGAGGAGGAGGACAGTAAGACGTGGCTTGGGACTCTGTTAAAAACCCTTTTGGCCTGTCAACTCAGAATTAATGGATGCTACAGAAGACCTTCCCGATTCAGTGTGGCCTGACTGGGAATATTACATTTTTTTATCCTTCAAAGAAAAACATTTGACAGTCAGAGATGGATTAGTGGCTGGGAGGGGTCCTGCCATTTCCCTAAATCAGGTATGCCTAACTTTGGCCATTTTAAGACCTGTGGACTTCAACTTCCAGAATTCCCCAGCCAACATAGCTCAGGAATTCTGGGAGTTGAAGTCCACAGGTCACAAAGGGGCCATAGTTGCCCTCCCCTGCAATGGGGGAAGCTTATTCACTTAAAGACTGTGTAATGGTCTTAAAATGGCCAAGGTTGGGCACACATTCCCTAAACTGGCTTTTTGAGAGGAAAAGGAAAAAACAGAGGTTAGCTCCATTTGGCTGGATTACCTGAGGATCCGATCTGAATTCGAGTGATGTTTTGAAGGGTCGCCGGATGGAGGCGGTTGCTTCTCGTGAGTTTTGGCTAATTTTTCAGCAGCTGCAATGGGACAGCCAGATAAGCTATTGGAA